GTATGTATAGGCTACCCGTTGCAACGTATCATCACGTGCTCGCAAGACAATGTCTCGTGAAGAAAATTGATCACCACTAATTATGGCTGCTTTTTCTTTTATCAAAGGTACATTGTAGCGCCACTCTCCTCGAGGGATCCGATCTGCTTATAATCCTCTTTAGGTAGGTTTTCTAAAGCAGTTTTAAATGTTTTGACTAAAATGTTACGTTAATGCAAGAATCTTTGAATTTTGAACACTGTGTCACTCTCAAGTCCCTGGATAAATTGGCAGCGACGGTCTACCTCAATTTCTTCGTTGCCCATAAAATATACTTGTAAACATTTATGGTGTTCGTTTTCAGCTGTAAAAAGTGAACCTATTCTATGATAAATTTGCCCTTGCACCGTAAATGTAGGTGAAAATCGCGGCATTATTATTTCCCGGTCAAATCCGAAGGACACCATTTGAAAGCATAAGTTTATATTTCCGGATCCTGTCTAAAAAGAGCCGTGACTCATTAGCATCATATAAAAAGAGAGTTTTCAAAGGTTTTTCTGGTTCCCCCAAGTAACGGAAGAGACACTTTGCCATTGGAACAGCACATGCCTGCGGTCTCATCTTTCCATATTAAAACGCTGCAGAATCGACACGCCTTGTCCATCAGTCCGATAACAACTAACCTGTGATTTTTATAATCAATCAACGGATCATAATTGAATTCTGCGTCATTAAAAATCGACCAATTGTTTCTTTGAAAATTTTGTCGACATTCAGCTTGGAGCTGTGCATTTGCATCTCTTCGCGCCTGTGTCTGTTCTGGTGTTTCAGATGCCCTTATAGTAGACTGAGGTTCAGCTTGTTCAATGAGTCTGTGTTGAGTATCATCAGGTGTTTCCGCGGCGTTTAAGGCGGCCTGACGTTCCGCTTGTTCGAATAGCCTTTGCTAACTTTGATCAGGTGTTTCAGTAGCTCTTAAAGTAGCTTGGCGCTCTGTTTGTTCAAGACGCCTTTGCTGACTTTGAGCAGGTGTTTCAGTAGCTCTTAAAGTAGCTTCACGCTCCGCCTGTTTAAGACGCCTTTCCTGACTTTGAGAAGGTTTTTCGGAAGCTCTTAAAGCAGCCTTATGCTCCGTCTGTTCAAGACGCTTTTGCTGACGTTGAGAAGGTGTCTCAGATGCTCTAAAAGCAGCCTGACGCTCTGCTTTTTGTTGTCTTCTCAGTTCAGCATCTTTTAAAGATCCTAGCGATCGAGCTAATCTTTTCGCTTGTCTTTGAGAAGATATTCTTGAAAGGCTGGACTTACGTTTGCAGGGCATTATGAAGTAACAAAAAACATATTTATAAAAAAAAACGTTAAAATACCTAAAGGAATTAAATTTTTTTTTAAATATTTTTTTAAAGTAAATCAAAAATATCTAATAGGAATAAATATTCATTTTAAAGATTTTTTAAAATCAAAACAACAGAATTCAAGACACAACACGAATCCGAAAACAATAGCCAAAAAAAATCGAATCAACTTAAACCAAATTACAAAACAAATCGCAGAAAACCGAAATCGAAAGCAGTAGTCAATATAAATATAACCAACGAAAAAAGAAGTAAGTGTATAGGTACCGTATACACTATCTATACTATTAATATTCCTTTGAAATATTGTTAAACAACCTAAAACAACGAAAACCAATTCACGATTCTAAATAAACAAAACCAAAATCAAAGCCAGAGTACAAATATGTATAAAGGAATACCAACCAAATCAACAAAACCAATCTAATAAAATACACAAATCCGAAAATAAAAGCCAATATAAATCCATTCAACCATAACCAAATCACAAAGCAAATAACAAACAACCGAAATCAATATGCACTACAAGTTGACGCGCGGCTCAACGGCTGGAGTTAAGTACATTTCAGGAAACATTTCTGTTACCGCGTTTTAAAAACCTAGTAACGACATCTAGCGGAATCAATTTAAACTATGTATACGTTAGTTAATAAGAACTCTCAAAAATATTTTTAAATTTTATTTTTCTTATTGTAGTACCGATTCATTCACATATAAGAACTGTATTCATTTCCGTTCAATCAATATTACTAAGGCTTATTAATAAGGCTTACTAAGAACTGTTTCTACCACAGTTAAGTAATAGGGGTGAAAGCGTGACAGGTGGTGATAGTATTTCTGATCCATACTTATAATAACGCCTGTAACCCTTGCGGGGTAAGGAGAGCATCAACGGATTACTTAATATCATCTGCGAGGTTATCGCCTATTCTGTGAATTACAATGCACCAAAACGTTTGAAGAAAATCAGCTGGTGAATTTTATGTTTTTTATCGCTCTCTTCTCGGTCCCGCGTGGAAAAATACAGATCCATACATTTTTTATCTTAATTTTGGTAAAAAGACATAATAATCCAGATATTCTGACCTTCTGTCTTTGTCCATCGTACCGTCGTCCATCTTGTAGAATCACAGTGGCGCCACCTAGCTGAATTTAATTTTGCAACATATTCGGTTTTCCCACGGGAATTATATGTTTTTCTGCTGAAAAAATAGCTTGTGTCACTCTACAGCCACCGAACTATCCCCATACAAAAAATCATGCCATGCCGACGCTCTGTTGCGACGTGAAAGAAGGACAAACAAACAAACAAACACTCTTTCGCATTTATAATATTAGTAATGTATGGATTAAATATTCCATTGACAACTGCTATATAAACTGTCTTTAAATATTTTTAGTTTCATTGTTGTTCGCATCAAACAGTGTCGATAACCTAATGACACAAACGAATGGTAGAAAAGTTAGTAAATTGTTTTTAAATTATTTTATGGCAATGCAGAGTTTGAAATGAAGCTTAATTACAATTTAATTGTTTTAGGCACTTACTATTGTAACAAAATCAAAAAATAAAGGACGGTTTATTACTATTTAGTTTTATTGATAATTGTAGAATATACACAGTCGAGAATATCGACAATATGGCAAAATATTTTAAGAATTGAAGGACAAGTCAGGTAGGTGAAAACGAAATATATATTTTTTAAATTTTTGATTAAGTAGATAGACTTAAATATAGTTTAACATCTTTTCATAGTAATTTAGAGGAACATAAGCAGAGGCCTTTTGAAATACTACATTTTATTATAACGCGTAAATGTAAGTCGCGTTTATATAAGTTACAAATTATTCCTTTTTGGGGCACTCTTCAAGCGGGACACATTTATTGGTCACGGTGTTCCTAACAGTGGGAGGAGCGCAGTAGCAAGAAGAAAAGTCACAAACATGTCCACGTGTGTCTGGTTGGGGATTTGGTTCGTCGCAGGTCGCCTCCTTTGTCAAATGAGTACATCCAGGAGTATAAGATATAGTACCCTCCTCACATTCTTTAAAACCTGCAAGTCAATAAAAACTGAATTAACTCCCTAATAACATACTGTTTTTGGCAATACACCACTCTCTTTAATTCCGAAAGGATCATCTATTACTGTAACGAGCAGCTGCTTATCCTCTCCATCGAGCGTGAATGTCGTAACACAGAATGGTTTTATCGAGGTAATTCTATTGTTTTGTTAGATAAAAATTTATTAAACATTTAAATTTATGGTAATGACGCTGAAATCCAAGACGGAGATCACATAAGTCTCACCCTAGCCGTTAGAATAGTAAAAGAGTATCCATTGCTATGCGCACTAAAAACGAAGTTGTTTTTGATTTTCAGCTAAATAGGTAGATAGGAATGATCTTATCTACCTATTTAACTACCAAAATTATAAATTAAACCCAATTTTTAAATTACTTGCAACACAAAGTATATTCGTTGCGTATATTCTATTTTTCTCTATCAAACCTGGATATTAATGTAGATGATAGCACTATTTACAAAGATTTTTGGTTAATTGATGTTACTTTACATGCTTTTGTATTCAACTTTTAATTGATATATAGATAAAAAAGTAGAAAAAAAAGAATATCAGATATATATTTCTTCACATATATATTTCTCGCCTACTGTGAAATTTACAGTGAACGCTTACTATCCACCACGGCTCTTTTTAAATTTTCAGCAGTGAACAAAAAAGTTGTAGACATTTTCCAGTTTCTTTTAGGCGACTTCTAAAGAAGAACAGTTTTACAATTTGAGTGTATATATTTTTTAGTATTTTACGCGTTATCTTTGTCAATTGGAACTTTTTTTAATTATTTTTTATTAAATAGCTTCAGAAGCGGTTCCATAAAAATTTGATGAACAATTTTTACACTTAGGTATCACAAACACAAAGTTTTAATGTAACTATTAAAAAGACTTTGGGATTCTGTTAATCCTTAGTTTATTTAAAAGAGTAAAAAATAATTTGATAGAAGGTAAAAGTTTAAAGAAATAAATTACATTAAACAATTGCACAAAATATGATTATTTTGATGACATTACCCAAATGCTAATGCATGAATACAGAAAGCAAATATGTTTTTTTCTCCTTCGTCTTCATCAGAGCGCAAAAGTCTAAGGCTGGAGATTAGCCTCTCCGGCAGTAGACAGAAATTCACGCACAGTCTCTTAAATAAGCTAGATACCTATCTCCTAAAATCAACCTTTCATCAGTTTTACTGTGTTCAATTGTCACAGTAAAACTGATGAAAGGTTGAAACCTTATACAAAATATTTGAAAAATGTAATAATAATCACGGTGCCAAAAGTTTTATTGATTTACTTTAAATATATACGTAGTTTTAGATTCTATGCTGTCTTATAAATACTAAGGCATACACCTAAGACTAAAACTGTTTGTAACTTACACTTTCCATTAACGTATATACAGCCATGTGATTGTTGAACGCTAACAACCAAAATAGCTAGTAACACGAAAAAAGCTACAGATTTCATTTTAAAAGTTATATTATATTATTTAATTTAAACAACTTCTAGCTGAGTAATATCAAACAAAACTGGACGCTAAGACTTAAACAGGTCGCTTATATCTAAGGTCATAAGCAGAATCACGTTTTAATATGCATGTAGCGATAATTGTGAGCAGGTTTTTAATGAGTATGTAATGATGGAGATCAAATATCTTTTCTTATATTTACGCGAATACTACACATTGAAATAATACTAGTTTTTTACGGAATTTATCGTGCATATTTAACTTTTTAAATACCCGACATTTCGAACGCTTTACAGCACTCAAGGTCCCGTCCGTGACCATGAGTGCTGTAAAGCGTTCGAAACGTCGGGTATTTAAATAGTTAAATATACGCGATAAATTCCGTAAAAACTAGTATTATTTCAAATATCTTTGTTTTTAATTATATAAGTTAAGACCATTTTATTTTTTATTTGAACATCAATATAATAAACATTACATCGTTAGATTGCTGCAATTAGTAGGTACTACATATTCGGTTTGTAAAGCTTAATGCTATCACAATTATAGGTGTAATAATAATAATAATAGCCGGGACCTTTGCGAGACGGACTCAGTTCTTTTTGGCGCCGCAGTGGCAGCTTGCCGTATTATTGGCGCCAAACTTCCCCCTGGCTGGACGCGCTACTAAACAAAGTAGCGCCATCCCAGCCTGGAGAAAAAGAATTGAGGACCGTATCGCAAAGGCAAGGGCCCTTATCGGCAGACTGATAAGCTTCAGGTCGGGTAATAATAGACCGAGGGTTGTGCGCTCCGTTAGAATGGCGTTTGCTGGGACAAAAATCAGTTTGTCCCAGCCGGATATCACGCAGAAACTAACGGAGCGCATAGACGACCTGAAGCAAAAGATTGCTGCTTGGGGGAAGCGGATTCGCCGATTTACCGAGAGGTCAAGGCGGTTCAACCAGAATCGTCTCTTCCAGAGTGATCAGAAGAGGCTCTACAAATCATTGGAGCGACCAGAGGTATGTGGAGCGGGCCCAGGACCGGATCAGGCTAACACTGTCGCATTTTGGCGTGGCCTGTGGTCAGAGCCCGTAAACCACAGCGAGGGCTCTTGGACGGAAGTTGTGGCGAGTCAGTGTGCGAGTATTACGCCCATGGACCCCGTCATCATAACGCCGGATGACGTAGCTGAGGCGGTCCGTAGAGCCCCGAACTGGAAAAGTCCGGGACTCGACGGACTGCATCACTACTGGCTGAAGGGGTTCATGGTGTGTCACGCTGTGCTCGCCCGTCAGTTTCAAGAGGCTATCAACCAGAAGTCGCTCCCTAGCCTCTTCACTACTGGGATCACTCATTTGGTTCCTAAAGACCAGGTTACCACAGACCCGAGCAAATACCGCCCCATTACGTGTCTACCCACCATATATAAGACACTGACATCCATTTTGAGCGCGAGAATCACTCGTCACCTGGAGCTAAATCAGGTGATGTCACGGGCTCAAAATGGATGTCGGGGCGGTGGTCGTGGAACTAAGGAACCACTCCTCATTGACGCGGTCATTGGCAACGTGGTGAAACGCAACCGTCGGAACTTCTCCGCCGCCTGGATAGACTACAGAAAGGCATTCGACTCGGTGCCCCATACATGGCTAAAGAGAGTCCTCGAGCTGTACAAGATAGACTGTACAGTGAGAGACTTCCTCGAGCAGTGTATGGGGCAGTGCAGTACGATCCTTTGTCATCTGGGTGAGCGGATGATGGCTGCGGAGAACCACATAAGGATAAGAAGGGGTATCTTCCAGGGCGACTGTCTGAGTCCAATCTGGTTCTGCCTCTCCCTGAACCCTCTCAGTACCTTACTGGAGGGATCCGGGAGAGGATTTCAGCTACGGAAAGGAGGGGCAAAAGTGACCCACCTTTTCTATATGGATGACCTCAAGTTATTCACCTCCAGTCGCTCCCATCTTATGGAATTGCTAAACATCACTTGTGAATTTAGCAATTCCATTGGAATGGAGCTGGGGACGGATAAGTGTGCGGTCCTCCATGTTGAAAGGGGAAGGGTTGCTAACTCTGAGGGCATAGACTTATCTATGCCCGTCAACTTAAGGACCCTTTTCGAGGCTGAAACATACCGATACCTGGGTATGTCACAGAACATCGGTATCGATGAGGCTGGTATGAAACAGTCAGTTTGCGACGTGTTTTATGCACGCTTGACCAAAGTGCTTAATAGCCTCTTGTCCGGTGCGACTAAGACACACGCATATAACGGTTGGGTCATACCTGTCCTTATGTATACCTTTGGCATACTCAGGTGGAGTCAGACTGAACTTAACGCCCTGGATAGAAAAAGTCCGCACTACCATGACTTCCCATAGGATGCATCATCCGAGATCGTCGGTAATGAGGCTGTACTTGCCGCGAAAGCATGGTGGGCGTGGCTTTCTGAGCGCGCTCACCATGCATAATCGTGAAGTGTGCAGCCTCCGTCATTACTTCCTGGCGAGGTCGGATGATCCATTCTATAATGACGTCATTTGTAGTGATAAAGGGCTTACCCCTCTATCCTTAGCCAACGAGCAATGGCAGGACCCAGCAGTGCTTAGCATTTCCGACCGGGAGACCGTATGGAAGGAGAAAGAGCTCCACGGGAGGTACTACAGGGCTCTACATGAGCCCTTCGTAGACACAGTCGCCTCCCTCAACTGGCTGCGTTTCGGTGACCTCTTCGGGGGAAACCGAGGGTTTTGTCGGTGCAATACAGGATCAGGTTATTAAGACCAACAACTATCGGAGATACATCCTAAAGGATGGCACCGTCGACGTCTGTCGAGCTTGTCGCCATCCCGGTGAGTCACTTAGGCATGTCATCTCCGGTTGTTCGGCGCTTTCTAACTCTGAGTACTTGCACAGGCACAACCTAGTAGCCAGAATTCTACACCAGGAGCTCGCTCTGAAATACGGTCTCGTGGACCGGAAATTGCCGTATTACAAGTACTTGCCGGAAGCCGTGCTCGAAAATGACCGCGCCAGGCTCTACTGGGACCGGGCCATCATCACAGACAGGACTATTCTTGCGAATAAGCCTGATATTGTGCTGATGGACCGGGCACAGTCAAGGATATTTTTGGTCGATATTACCGTCCCGTATGACGAGAACCTCGTGAAAGCCGAAACAGATAAGCAATCAAAGTATCTGGACCTGGCTCACGAGGTGACCGACATGTGGGGTGGTATGCCGACCGAAATTATTCCTGTAGTCGTCTCTGCGAATGGGCTAATCCCAGTTAGCCTCTCTGATCATCTGAGGCGACTGGGACTCCGTGACGGACCGCTCCGGGCTCAAATGCAGAAGGCGGTGCTCCTTGATACTGCCCGCATCGTCCGCCGGTTTCTTTCCCTTTCCCCCTAACCCTTGGCCGTTTGGTCTCCCCTGCCGAGGGCTTCCATCTGGTTGGGCTTTTATTTATTTATGTATTTTTGTATTTATTTTATTTTATTGATATTTATGTATATTTATCTTTTCATTTTCATTTATAATTATATATTTATACATCCCAACCAGATGAGAAAACTATATAGATACCCCACATAATAATAATAATAATAATACCTCTTCGGTCGGAATTGACCTCTTCGGGGGAAACCGAGGGTTTTGTCTGTGCAATACAGGATCAGGTTATTAAGACCAACAACTATCGGAGATACATCCTAAAGGATGGCACCGTCGACGTCTGTCGAGCTTGTCGCCATCCCGGGGAGTCACTTAGACATGTCATCTCCGGTTGTTCGGCGCTTTCTAACTCTGAGTACTTGCACAGGCACAACCTAGTAACCAGAATTCTACACCAGGCGCTCGCTCTGAAATACGGTCTCGTGGACCGGAAATTGCCGTATTACAAGTACTTGCCGGAAGCCGTGCTCGAAAATGACCGCGCCAGGCTCTACTGGGACCGGGCCATCATCACAGACAGGACTATTCTTGCAAATAAGCCTGATATTGTGCTGATGGACCGGGCACAGTCAAGGATATTTTTGGTCGACATTACCATTCCGTATGACGAAAACCTCGTGAAAGCCGAAACAGATAAGCAAACAAAATATCTGGACCTGGCTCACGAGGTGACCGACATGTGGGGTGGTCTGCCGACCGAAATTATTCCTGAAGTCGTCTCTGTAAACGGGCTAATCCCAGTCAGCCTCTCGGGTCATCTGAGGCGACTGGGACTCCGTGACGGACCGCTCCGGGCTCAAATGCAGAAGGCAGTGGTCCTCGATACCGCCCGCATCGTCCGTCGGTTTCTTTCCCTTTCCCCCTAACCCTCAGCCGTTTGGTCTCCCCTGCCGAGGGCTTCCATCTGGTTGGATCTTTATTTAATGATTTCTTATATTTACGCGAACACTACACATTGAAATAATACTAGTTTTTACGGAATTTATCGCGTATATTTAACTTTTAATACCCGACGTTTCGAACGCTTTACAGCACTCATGGTCACGGGCAGGACTGAGATGTTCAACGTCCATATGTCATAGTTAACCGCGGTTACCATAGATTAAAATTTAACTTTTGTTCCGATCTATGCAGTATGAACTTATGGTATCTTGAAGTCTTGCAGTTGTATGCTTGGGTTGGGATTTAATTTTATTTATTATAGGATCCCAAGCAGATGGTAGCACCAGCCATCTTCTCTATTGAAATTAGGATGTTTTTTGATTTCAATAGCCTCGCGAATCATCCTTGGAAGGAATCGGTGTTCTTTAGCGAGGATCTGCGGTCTATCAAATCTGATGTAGTGACGGGGGCGATCCTGTACGTGTTCACAGACTGCAGACTTCCCGGAGCGTCGCTTCTTCACATCAGCTATATGTTCTTTAACGCGGGTTTTTTATTGATCTTTTAGTTTGTCCTATGTAGGAGAGACCACATTCACAATCAAGCTTGTACACTCCTGCATCTTGCAGAGGGACATTACACTTGACCGATGGTAAAAACTGACCAATCTTCTTCAGCGGCTTGAAGTATGTTTTGATGGAAGCGCGCTTCAAGATGTAGACAATCTTGTCAGTGAATCCTCTAACATATGGCAGTACAGCAGGTACACGCTCGACTGTGGCCGGCTTCACTCGTTCACTGTGATGTAGGCGCGGGACTCGAAGCTTGTTGTCATGCAAAACTTGCTTGACATGGTGGAGCTCTGCAGCCAGGTGTTTACTGTCACAGATCCCTCGTGCTCTCTGAAACAAAGATTTACCCACGGTAGCTAACTGTGAAGGCTGATGGTGAGAATCACCGTTTAAATATCTATCTGTATGGGTCTTTTTTCTATACACAGTATGGCTCAAGGTGTTAGTAATTCGGAATCCTGATAACACTTTGAGCCATACTGTGTATAGAAAAAAGACCCATACAGATAGATATTTAAACGGTGATTCTCACCACCATCCTTCACAGTTAGCTACCGTGGGTAAATCTTTGTTTCAGAGAGCACGAGGGATCTGTGACAGTAAACACCTGGCTGCAGAGGCCACCATGTCAAGCAAGTTTTGCATGACAACAAGCTTCGAGTCCCGCGCCTACGTCACAGTGAACGAGTGAAGCCGGCCACAGTCGAGCATGTACCTGCTGTACTGCCATATGTTAGAGGAGTCACTGACAAGATTGGCTACATCTTGAAGCGCGCTTCCATCAAAACATACTTCAAGCCGCTGAAGAAGATTGGTCAGTTTCTACCATCGGTCAAGTAATGTCCCTCTGCAAGATGCAGGAGTGTACAAGCTTGATTGTGAATGTGGTCTCTCCTACATAGGACAAACTAAAAGATCAATAAAAACCCGCGTTAAAGAACATATAGCTGATGTGAAGAATCGACGCTCCGGGAAGTCTGCAGTTTGTGAACACGTACAGGATCGCCCCCGTCACTACATCAGATTTGATAGACCGCAGATCCTCGCTAAAGAACACCGATTTCTTCCAAGGATCATTCGCGAGGCTATTGAAATCAAAAAACATCCTAATTTCAATAGAGAAGATGGCTGGGTGCTACCATCTGCTTGGGATCCTATAATAAATAAAATTAAATCCCAACCCAAGCATACAACTGCAAGACTTCAAGATACCATAAGTTCATACTGCATAGATCGGAACAAAAGTTAAATTTTAATCTATGGTAACCGCGGTTAACTATGACATATGGACGTTGAACATCTCAGTCCTGCCCGTGACCATGAGTGCTGTAAAGCGTTCGAAACGTCGGGTATTAAAAGTTAAATATACGCGACAAATTCCGTAAAAACTAGTATTATTTCAATGGATCTTTATTTATTTGTGTATTTTTTTGTATTTATTTTATTTTATTGATATTTATGT